GATGTATTCACTATGTTAGTCAACACAGGAGTTAGTAAATTGAAACATTCCTTCTAATTCGAAACGTGACCGCTTGAATAAGCTCTTCCAAGCACGAGGTGGCGAGGGTAAGCCAAACAAGTGCGTTTATTGCAGTGATGTGACGCATAGATCGTCTGAATGCAAGAAAATCTCAACCGTGGACCAATGGAAGCAATTTCTCGCAAAAAAGAAGCTGTGTTTTAATTGCGCAACACCAAATCACCACGCCGCAGAGTGTTTCAGCAAGAAAACATGTTTACATTGCCACAAACGTCATCACTCCTCGATATGTGATTGTGAACAAACAGACAGCGGGAAGCAGACGTTGATGACAGCCAGTGAGAACAATGAAGGAATCATGCCAGTATTAACAGTAAAGGTCGATGGTATTACCTGTTGCGCGTTGATAGATACAGGAGCGGGGAGTTCATATGCATCTGCAAAGCTGTTGGATCTTCTAAAGAAAAAGCCAAGTGAAACGAAAACAAGACGTGTGGATATGCTAATCAGCTCGAAAGTAACCAAACTAGAAGTGTACGACACCGTCGTGGAATCCTTAGACGGAAATTATCAGATGCCTGTGAAGCTAACGAAGGTCAACAAAGCAGAGCTATTATCGATTGAAAATCCAAAGTACGGAACACTGGTACACAAGTACCCACATTTAAAGGGAGTCAAAATCACAGACCTTGACACGAAGGACCAACTTCCTATACACGTCGTACTAGGAAGCGGGGAATATGCACGCGTAAAAACAGAGACAAAGCCGCAAATTGGACAGGATGGAGAGCCGGTGGCAGAGAAAACTAAACTGGGATGGTTTATTATGAGCCCGGGATCAGAATTTGACCACAACACGATGCTGCTGACCCAAACATCACAGAGTGACTATGAGGACTTATGCAGGCTTGACATACTGGGGCTTACAGACACACCAGAGCATGACCAGAGCATTGTGCATGCAGAATTCAAGGAACAACTTCAACGCTCACCAGAAGGATGGTATGAAACTGGACTACCATGGCGAGGCAATCATCCAGAACTACCAACAAACAAACAAGGAAGCTTACGACGCCTGTCAAGTTTGACCAGGAAACTGCAGCGCAGTAATCTGACAGAGGAATACGATGGCATAATAAGAGAGCAACTCCAGAACAACGTAGTTGAAGTCGCACCAGTAGAAGTCGTGGGGAAGGAATTTTACATTCCACACAAAGCAGTGATTAGAGAAACGGCTGAAACAACCAAAATGCGCATAGTTTATGATGCTTCAGCAAGAGCAACGCAAGAGTCACCGTCGCTGAATGAGTGCCTTTATCCTGGCCCTCCATTGCAAAACAAGCTTTGGGACATACTAGTGAGACAGAGAGCATACCCCATAGCTGTAACCGCACACATCCAGAAGGCCTTCTTACAAATACGCATCCGGGAGTGTGAACGTGATGCATTAAGATTTCATTGGAGGAAAAGTGAACACGGAAAGCTAGAGACACTACGTTTCACACGTGCGCTGTTCGGTCTAGCCCCATCACCCTTTCTGCTCGGTGGCGTAATAGAAGCCCACTTGGATGCATGGGAAGAACGGGAACCAGAGATGGTCGCAGAGCTTCGACGCAGTTTATATGTTGATGATTTACTAACAGGTGGACGAAATACAAGCCAGGCCCAGCAGCGCAAAGATAAAGCCGTTCAAATATTCAGCGACGCAACGTTCCAACTCCACAAGTGGCATTCCAACGTCAAACAGCTAGAGGAAGATACAAACCTGACCGTCAGTCCTGAAGAACAGTCATT